TGATACACAGCTATGCTCAAGGCAGCTTATACACTAATTTTTGACCCAATATGTCAAAACTTCAGATATCATCGAAACTTCGCCTATTGGATCTACTTACCATGCTGCTCACGAATGTCGTATCAGCTTCATTAGGTAGGGCTTTACTGTGGGTTTACGGTAAGTACACGATCGGAGGCCAAAATCAGGATCTGCCTGGAAAGTGGTCTACAGTGGTTATTTGATATACTGAATAGAAACGACGCACGTCTGTCCTCTTTAGCGGCGCCTTATTGTGAGGAAGAGGTGTACGGAATGAAGGCAGACTTTGGATCCATATGAACATGCCTAGAAAAGAAGCTTGAACGTATTTAGGAAACTTGTAGCAGCAACTTGGAGTCTCAAACGTTCATAGAAGAACTTCTATAAAACGCTGCTATGTAGTTTAGCTCGTTGTCAAAGATAGAAGTGAAGGATTTGTAGGAAGCCCATGTTCACATTGTGGGAGGGTGGTTTTTAAGCCATATCTCTACAGTAAAGCACCACCATGTTGAATAATCTTTATGATCACCCTATATATTGACTCAAAAAGGCGGAGTTTGAACGGTATTGACCTCCCATCGTTTAGCTATATCTTTACGATAAGGCGTACTTGTGACAAATGGATATTTTTTTCATCATCAGCGTATGAAAGAATTACCCTAGGCAAAAAAACAGACGGATTAGCCATGGTGACCTTTTAAAGGACGGCTACCGTGTCTTTACAGTAAGCCGCTAACGTAAGAAATGGTTGGTTTTTTCATGATCAGCGTACCAGATAGCCCTCCAAGGCGAAGTTTTAGCGATTCACGATTTTGATTTCCTACTGTATGCCTACCGTATACCCTAGGTGTTACTGTAGTGTGACATACTGGGAGACGGATTTTTATGGGTCACGTTTTTTTTGCAGAAGTTATGAGCGGTATTTTCTACGCTTAAGCATTAAAAATAGTGGGATTTATGGAAAAGGCACTGAAAGCCGGGATGGGTGGAAGTGGGCTGTGCCAACAAACGATTTTCCCATATATGAAACAATTTATTTGTAACTCCTAAAAATATGTCTCAAATATTCATGCATAAACAAATCAATCGTGCATTGTCGCACATTTTTATGTTTTAGCAGTTTCCGCTAAAGCAGCGCTAATAGGTAAACGAAAGAGATATCATGCGAATGTTTAAATCAAATCTTGATCAAAATACGATCAGCTAAAGACAGGAGATTTCCTGTACGTCTGAGTTTGAAAGCTCATCAGAACTTTCTTAAGAATTTCATTCAAACTCCAAATTCTCATGTTCTTTATTTCCATGGAGTAACGTCTTCTAGATTAACATTCTGAAATGTACTTTTAGATTAAATCTCACTACTTACTATTTCGTAAGCATACTGTTGCCAATAAGTTGACAAGTTGCAAAGGCAATACAGCGAGCACTTTGAGTTCCCGATTTTTATGCCTCAATTTGTTATCTTTCAAACAATCCAATAAATTGACGATTTTTGCAACTTTCTTGTTATGTGTTCTACCCTGAAGCCCTAAAATTTGACATATCTTACTTTGAATGTTTTGAGCACTGATTTTCGTAAATTTATTGCATTGCCTGAGGCCATAAATAATACTCGTATAATAACTTGTATTTCGTCATAACGCTCCATTCTTCTGCGTTGTATTGTTTGTAAGTGAAGAGTAAAAAGGATACCGAGGAGCGAACGGCTGGAAGAGATGTTTTTAGAGTTTCTAAGCTAGCATAACTCATCCTATACCTCTATATTTTCTGCATCGATGGCGGTAGCTTGGACTCCTTGAACTGATTCTTCGTAAGTAGGCGGAGCCGGTGGAAATGCTAGAATTTCCAATTAAAGGACTTTTAAACGAATCTTTGCAACCAGTTCACCTGGAGCATTGCTACTTCCATAATATGGTGGAGGGCTTTCCATTGGAGGAGCGGATGGGACAGTGGGACTAGTGGCAGACGATGATGGGAATTCCATGATAGGTGGAGCACTCGGTACCGCAATGGCTGGAGCTGGATTTTGTGGCCGAACCGGTATTGTGCCGACTATCACTGGGTAGTTGATTTCAATGTCACTATTCAAAGCTCCACTAGTCTCGAATTTGATCTGAAAAAACTTGCGATATTTGAGGGTTAGGGTTGATTTAAGGTAAGATCAGTTG